TCTCAATTGACTCCGGATTCTCCAAAGAGCGGCATATTGCCTCATTTCGAATACGTATCTTACGATAGAGTTCAAGATCTTTATGAACAACGAAAGGGTCATTTCTACTTCATTCCTGATGGATTTGAACCTGTTCTTGTTCCAAATGACTCTAAAGCTTCCGCTGTAACCAATTTATTGGAAAATTCTAAACCCGTCTCCTCTGCGCCTAACGTTTCAAGAATGCTCCCTGATTCTGATGTACGTCTTCCTTCATTTGCACTCCCCTGTGGGGTAGCTGGTTCAAAGACAGAAAGATCTGCAAATGGTAAAAATAGTAAAATCAAAAAACCCCCAAGACCACCAAACGCCTTTATTCTTTATCGTCGAGCAAAACAACCTCAAATTGTTGCTCAGCATCAAGGCATCTCAAACAATGATGTTTCTAAAGAAATTGGTAGAATGTGGCATGAAGAACCTTTGGAAGTGCGTCTTAAATTCCAAAAAATGGCTGAAGCCGCCAAAGAGGAGCATATGAAAAAATACCCTGAATATAGATATAGACCCCGACGACCTCAAGAACGAAAACGACGAATGCCTGCTGCGGCACGAGATGCTTCAACCAGACGTGTTTCTGCTCCTGGCTTACCACATAATTTACTTGTAGACAATTCCAAAGCTTCAGGATCTAGGCGCATTTCCTCAGGACTAAACGATAGTGACGGATACCTTTCTGACTCTCAAATTATGACAATGCAAAATCAGCAATCGTTCAGAACTAACGGTGATTTTGAAAATCATATGTTTTACGCAAGTCCAACAAATACTTCTCAGCAAGAAACATTCGGTTATATCGACAGCTCTATGCCACAGCAATTTTCATATGTTCAGAATACATACGATAATTGTTCGACCGACTTCGCAACTTTCGACGTTGACTTTGATGATTATGATTATAATAATCAAATGGCTTCACTAGAATACGATCAATATTCACAATACGTAACAAAATACGAATGTTAAAAAAAAAAGGAAGAAAAAAAAAAAAAGTGAGAAAGAAAACAAAAACAATAATCGATTCAACTTTATTTAAAAAATATAAAATCCGACGACATGCGATCTCGGATTCTCCATAGTACCTAGTTTTCGTATGTTACATACTCTAATTATATGTTCCACGATACGAAGAGTAGTTTAAGCAGTAGTTTAAGCTATGGGTCGTTGGTCGATACATATTATTCTCTTATCGAAAATATTTCGTACGTTTTTCCGCATTCGATTCATTTTACATATTGCTAAATTAGCACAGTGAATTTACACTTATCCTCGCTTCTCTAAACTAATATTCAAATTTATAATTCAATAGTTTTTTTAGTCATTAATTATTATCATGTAAAAAAAATTTAACAATTAAGCATTTATATGCATGCATTGTTTGAACTATTTTTACAATAGTTCTATATGACAAGAGTTTTTTTTTTTTCCCCTGAATCGCAATAATAACAAGAATAACACGCAAGAATAACTATAATAATAAATCATCATGTTCCTAAGAACGTTAAAAAAAACATTCATAAAATACATAATAACCTAAAAAAAGGACACTAAACCCCTCTAAACCTTAACCTTTCAAACAAAAGTTTCTTTGTGAATAATCTTAGCATTTTTTTTTTCAATAGAACATGTAAATTTTTCACCACCTCCGCTTTTTAGTTTCAAACAATTTTTTTTTTATTCTATTTTCGTAATTTTGTACATTTTTTTTTAAAAAAAAAAAAAGAAAAAAAATAGATAACGATGAAAATTCAAAAAAAAACTGGTTTTTTTTGTATCACCATCAATTTTTTGACGATTTTTTTTTTTTTTAATAACGAATTCGGATTGAATTTTGGAATCGGTAACAATATTAATAAGAAATAAAATATGATATCACGTTATTCGCATAATGATATAAATGAATAAATGAATGATCATTATTTTGTTATTTACTTTGTCATTATTGCACATACGATATACTTCCGAATAAATCCTAAAGAACTATTTTCAAGGATCGGAAGTTATATTACAGTATTAGTACATACAAAATTTGTATAGAAAAAAGTAGGTCTTAGATGACAGCCCTATTAATTTATGACACGTATGTATAATTGGATGGCGACAATGTAGTCCAGTCCACCACAAAACAAATCTCTGCTTTTTTTACCTGACGAAATACTGAATGATGAAGCGGGGATAAGTGTAAATTCACTGTGCTAATTTAGCAATATGTAAAAT